CCTTTCTTCTCATGATGTGGCCAAAGTACTTCATCTTTGCCTGTACTATCCTTCCCTCCAATGAGCAGTTGGGCTTTATTTCCTGAAGTATGGACTGGTTGGATCTTCTCACAGTCCAAGGCACTCTCAGAACTTTCCTCCAAAAGCTTCTATCAAAAGCTTCTATCTTCCTTCACTCAGCCTTCCCTATGGTCCAACTCTCACATCCGTACGTTACTACAGGGAATACCATTGCTTTGACTATGCGAGTATTCGTTGCCAGTGGGATGTCTGTAGTCTTCACTATTTTATCAAGATTGGTCATTGCTCTCCTCCCAAGAAGTAAACGTCTCCTGATTTCCTGGCTGCAGTCTACATCTGCAGTAATCTTTGCACCTAGAAATACAAAGTCTGTCTCTACCTCCACGTTTTCTCCCTCTATTTCCCAGTTATCAATCATTGTTGTTGCCATAATCTTGTTTTTTTAATGGTTAGCTGCAACCCAGCTTTTGCACTTTCTTCTTTCACCTTGATTAGAAGGCTCCTCAGTTCCTCCTCACTTTCAGCCATCAAAGTGGTATCATCTGCATATCTAAGGTTGTTAATGTTTCTTCCAGCAATTTTAACCCCAGCCTTGCATTCGTTGAGCCCCGCACATCGCCTGATGTGTTCTGCATACAAGTTGAATAGATTAGGTGAGAGTATACAACCCTGCCCTAAGCCTTTCCCAATCTTGAACCAGTCTGTTGTTCCATGGTCAGTTCTTACTGTTGCTACTTGGTTCTTATACAGATTCCTCAGGAGAGAGAGAAGGTGGCTTGGTATCCCCATACCACCAAGAACTTGCCACAATTTATTATGATTCACACATCAAAGGCTTTAGAGTAGTCAATAAAGCAGAAATAGATGTGTTTCTGAAACTCTCTGCCTTTCTCCATTATCCAAAGGATATTGGAAATTTGGTCTCTCGTTCCTCTGCCTTTTCTAAACCCAGCTTGTACATCTGGCAACTTTCTCTCCGTGTATTGCAAAGGATCACTGCCTTGTCATGGCGCTGGAGCTTGAGCACCTCAATGATGCCACGAGCGAAACCGTGAAGGGACACCCAAGACAAGATGGTCGTGGCAGAGAGGTCAGACCAAGCACAATCCCTGGGGAAGGTAATGGCAAACCACCCAAGTCTTCTTGCCAAGAAAATGAAATGGACCAGTACAACCAGAGATATGTCGGTATGCCATTGGAAGATGGGACTCCCAGGTTGGAAGATGGTCAAAATGCTATTGGGGAGGAGCAGAGGATAAGTTCAACTAGCCCCAGATGTGATGATGCAGCTAGCTCAAAACTAGCGGCCAACGGTGCTGGAGGTGAACGATAAATCCGATGCTCTAAAGATAACACACCATAGGAACCTGAAATGTAAGATCTATGAGCCAGGGCAACTGGATGCTGTTATTGGTGAGATGTCAAGACTAAAGATAGACATTCTGGAAGTCAGTGAACTGAAATGGACTGGAATGGGCCACTTCACATCAGATGACCACTAGATCTACTTCTCCAGACAAGAGGAACACCAAAGAAATCGGGTAGCCTTCATAATTAATAAGAAAATCACTAAAGTGGTGCTTGGATATAATCCAAAAAATGACAGAATGATCTCAATTTGAGTGGAAAGCAAGCCTTTAAACATTACAGTGATTCAAATATATGTCCCAACCACTAGGGCTGGGCGGTTTCGTTTCGTTAATTCGTAATTCGTTAATAATTCGTTAATTTTTTCAATTACAAAACGATAACGAACCATTCTGGAGCAATTATAAAAAAACGAATTTTCAAAAACGTTTTGTAAATGCTTCGTATTTCGATATTGTATTCGTTTCGTTATTGTTTTGAGGTCGTTTCGTTATTATTTCCGCATGTCTGGGCCAGTTTTATGGTTTAATTAGTGAAAAAAATTATAATATCACACCAACAGTCAACAACAGAGGGAGAGGGAAGCTTCAGAAGGTTTTGGAGGTTTTTTAGCGTATTTCGCGGTCGCGTCCGCCATTAACGAATCGATTCGTTATTGTTTCGGAAATCAATTCGTTAATGTTTTACCATTTACGAAATTTCGTAAATATCGAACTTTTTAAAAGGAAAATTTTGTAATTATTTTAAATATCGAAACAAAAAAAACCCCAAATACAAATCGATTTTAGAAACAAATTTTTCCGTTGTTACCCAGGCCTACAAACTACATTCAGAAGCAGATCAGTTCTATGAGGATCTGCAGCACCTACTGATGGTGCAGCACCATTATTTTTATTACAGGAGACTGGAATGCTAAGGTGGGAAGTCAAATGACAACTGGGATCACAGGCAAGCATGGTCTGGGACAGGGAGGATACAGTACCTCTTTAAGGATTTTCTAGATCCTACAACAAGGCTCTGTGGTAGCTTTGAATGGATTTTGAATGGAATTCCTTCATTCTAATATGATTCACTATTACTCAAGGTGTCTTATTTCCACAGTAGTTCAGGATACAGAATTCAAACTGTACAGACATAGAGGGCCAGGTAGATTTTCTGAATAGGATGAATAAATGCTATAGAGGACTGAAAGGCAAGATCCTTAGAAATCCAGGAGGAAATTTTCACAAGCAGAAGCATTTATATTATGGCAGTTCCAGACAGCCCTTTATCCCACAAACATCTGCATTACAAAAAGTGGATGTTTGTGAGGACTAGCCCAAGAAAACATCTGGAGGCCCTACCCCCAAGCCCCCAGACCCCTTAGAAAAGTAGTGAATTGACATGCCAGGAGAGTGGGGGGGGCATTTTCACTCCCTCCCCTCCCCCCTCTCCTGGCGTGTCATTTCTATGCACCGGGAGAGCTTGCCAAAGCTTCAAATGGAGGATAGGTAAGTTTTTACTACCTTTCAAGGCATCTGGGGGGTTGGGGGAGGGGTGGTGGGCATTCCAACAGTTTATCAGACTTATTTAGCCCTGTAAATTGTGGGAATTCTGCAGTCCAGACCAGGAAGTATTGGATTTATCCTGTGCCTCCCAAGAAGGCATGGAATAAATCCACTAACAAATTAATTCAGCACAAACCAGGTTTTTCCTGGCTTGTGCCAAATTAATGTGGGATTTCCCAGAATGTCATCTGGACAACCTCCTTTTTATTGCGGAAGTTTCTGCAATAAAGGGACTGTCTGGATGGGCCCTCAGGGTGCTTCTACACTGTGGAATTAATGCAATTTAACACCATTTTAATTTCTGTCGCTCAATACTATGGAATCCTGGCCGTTGTAGTTTAGTCAGGCATACAGGACTCACGACCTTTCCACACAGCCATATAATCTAGAATATCAAGGCAGAAAATCCCACAATGTCTGCTTTGAATTGAGTTATCTGAGTTCACACTGCCATATATTCCAATTCAAAGCAGAAAATGTGGGATTTTATTCAGCTGTGCAGAAGTGACCCTAGTTTTCTGTCTTGCTTGAGTTTTATGAATTAGTATATGTATAGGAAATGAGAAAAAGGAATTAACCCTGAGGGTATAATTGGTTTTAAAAAGTGTGTTTTAAGAGGGAATTTTGAAAAATAATACTTTTTAAAAAATCATATAATTGTAAACAGGATATTGAAAAACTTGTGGAAAAACACAGTCCAAAAATATACAGTCAGCACTCCACATCCACAGATTCGACATCCATGAATTCAGTCATCCACTGCTTCAAGGGTTTTTTTAATCTAAAGACAAACCTTTATTTTGCCATTTCATATATGTCACCATTCTACTATGCCATTGCATGTAATGGGACTTGGGCATCCAAAGATTTTGGTATCCATGGCAAAGTTGGGGAGCTCTCAAGGGGCCACTGTATTTTGCCATATGTCCATCCCTAGCTTTCAGTGTCCACATTTCCTAATATTGTTAAATATTAGTGGCCAAAATTTTACATATTTATGTACATGTATATCTACCTATTTACCAACTTTTTATTCCACTTTTTCACCACTCAAGCCTCCAATTCTAAATTGACAGCACCAATAAATAAAAACAACAACAATCAATAAAACAACTGTTGCTTGTGTTTTAAAAAAAAAAGACTGCTTCGCCCAGGCTTTTTTTTCAGTGGTAAGACTCAAGAGAAAGAAAGAAATGGTAGATTCTACTTGTATTTCCTCTTTCATTAGTTCTTTCATACTTTCAGATGTGTCCAGGTGGAGGCCACAACCATAATGCAGCCCAATCCTTTCCTCTTCTATATGTGCATTCATTCAACTGAATAGGTCAAAAGCAGTGGAGCCTGGTGGCTTCAAAAGCAGCAGGGTATTGAGTCTGCTTTGTGGCTTTCATTTAGATTTTAAACAAGCCATCGAAGAGCCAAAACTTATCCCTATCCCTAACCTTCCCTTCATGGCAAAAGGGAAGAAAGATAACCTTTTCCTAACAAATAAAGAATATAGTTTTTCAAGCAAATGCTTCTTTTTCCTATCTAATGTGTCATCTCTTCTGTACTGAAGTCCATATTTTTCTTGACTATGTTATTGAAATACATGTAACATTTACTTCACTTCTGCTTCTTTTCTATCCAAAGAGATTGAGCACATGCATAAGATTACTAATGTGATTTTTTCCCTCAAACAGCAGTCTGCATATGATCAAACTGTTTTTGAATGGGATATCTGGGTAATTTTGATTTAAATGAAATGCCTAGACAAGAAAGCACAATTTCATGTGAATACCTGGGAGAACATTCTGGAAACCAAAGAGATTTACCAATAAATTCAATAAACATTTGCAGACTGCTCTTAATTATATACTTGAAAGGATATAGGGTTACAATCCTCTTTGACCTCGGTTACTATAGTACTTTGTGCTGTTTGACATAAGTGGATCAGAAAGGCTTTTTCTTCTCAACAGTACAGAAAATGTTTAATCTTTTCTCATTAAATATAAAAAATATTGCTTCGAATCCAATGTCTGCCTTAGAAAACAACAAAAAATTCTATATCTGCATTTCTTCCAGGTTAATTTAATGGCATTTGGTGTCATAATCTATAAAGTATTCCAACAAACAGCAATGCTAAAGCCTGAAGTTAGCTGCTATGAAAACATACGGTAAATTCCAACTCTGATCCCTTTTTTTGTTTAACATCTGTAGATTTTAAAATATATATGCACTGAGGTAATTTGTTTTAACTTTATTATGCTTTGCCATCCCTGGGGAAAATGCTTTGCTTTGTTTATGAAGAAAGAAAATATGTACTAGATTGTATTAAGGCACTGGTCTTGCTGACGACTGCATTAATCTCACTCACTGAATTTTAATTATTTGGCCATTGACATAAATGGCACTGGTCCCAATGACCTTTCCCATTATGGCCATTTCAGTAATACTTTTACTGAAACAACAACAACTTATGTATGCACCATGAAGTGCCAGGAAATTTGAGTAAACATCATGCAGTCTTTAGGGATTAAAAATAAAATAAAATTCTTGGGCAAGTATATTGATGAGTTGATTATTAAATAGATTTCTAATTTAGCAAAGCTTGGATGAGGTGAATGGCTTCCCAAAAGCTGCACTTCAAATAGAATTGCCATCTTTCCTCTTATTAAAGAACAACATATATTGTGAAGAAACTTAGCCTGGGGCTCAGAGCCCTTCCACACAGCCACATAACCCAGAATATCAAGATGGGAAATCCCACGTTATCTGCTTTTAACTGGAATATAGGGCAGTGTGGACCCAGGGCAGATCCAGACAGCCTTTTATCCCAGGAACATCCATGGTTTTAAAACACGGATGTTCCTGGGAGGCTATCTACACCCACCCCAGAAAGTGCGTGCTTTCTGGGGTAGGTGTCCAGATATTGTACTGGGACTTCCCAGTACAACATCAGGAAACTACCCCCCCCCCTCCCAGAAACCCACCTAAACTGAGTAAAAAAGGAAAAGAACTCAACCGGCCTCATAGAGATGGCTGCCGGAGTTCTCCTGACACATACAAATGACACGCCATGAGAAAGGGGGGGGAGCAATTTTCTTCTCCTTCCCCCTTCTTCTGGTGTGTCATTTGTACATACCAGGAGAACTCTGGCAGCTGTCCCAAGGAGGCCGGGTGAGTTCTTTTCTTTCTTACTTTTTTTACTCAGTTTAAGAGGGCTTTGGGGGAGGGGGTTGGGATTCCCAAAGTTTTCTGGGTAATTTAGCCCGGACAACTGTGGGAATACTATCTGGACTGCAGTATTCTAAGTCCAGAACCAGAAATAGTGAGTTTACCCCACGCCTTTCAAGAAAGCGTGGAATAAACCCACTAACTAATTAATTCACTACAAACTAGGGTTTTCCTGGTTTGTAGCAAATTAATTTGGGACTGTCCAGAATGCTGTCTGAACAGTCCCTCCTTTATTGTGGTAGATACCACAATAAAGGTACTGTCTGGATGGACCCTCAGATAACCCATTTCAAAGTAGATATTGTGGGATTTCCTGCCTTGATATTCTGGTTTGCATGGCTGTGTGGAGGGCCTTTGGTTCAATGCTGCACATAACTACTCAGGAGTAAATTCTATTGAACTCAGAAGCACATACTCCTGGGTAAGTGAAAGTGTATCAGATTGCTGCCTGGGTCGCATTTATTTCACTAAGGTTGAACTAAACATGTATGTCACTCTCCCAATGAAAATGAGGTTTATTGTTTTTTTAAAACAAATAGCTATCTATAGCTATTTGGTTTGTTTTGCGAGGAAGACAGACATGGGGATTCAGTCATTTGTTCTTTTCCCATGATTTTTTAAACAGTTTATATCATGTGGCTGTTATGATTTTTCCATCAACTTGTTCTCTTTAAAGCTGATTTATAGAGACCTTGAAAACCATTTGTGCTGGAAAAACTAGAGTGTGCTACAGGGACCATTGAAAACAACTTATTGTTTTTGTTGCTTGGAAACACTCCTACGGTTTCAACGGCACCGTATTAGATTTATGGTTCAGATTTAGCAATTGTTTGATTGATCACTTTTGTCCTCTTCCCTCAACCGATCAGCTCTCACAGGGCACTGCATCTAATGAAGTCAAAAATGTATTCATGTCTGGGGAAGCAACACCATAAAGAGAAGAGCAGGGGTGGGGGGGAGGAAAGCTTTATTGTGTGAAGAAAGTCCAGAAATTAAAGAGAAAACCAATCAGTGAGCCCATTTGCAAGACAACGTGGTGTAATTTGTCAGAGTCCATGAGCAATGCTAGATACTTGTAATATATATTTTAAAAGAGGGTGTAAAATCAGAGCCAATTGATGTGTGTTCTGCTTGGAGATCAGCATTCTAACCCTGCAACTATTTAAAGTTATTTTGCATTGTAAAAGCAAAATCCTTCTAATATAAAGGGAAAGTCTGGTTTTACAGCCAGCACCATCTCTGTGGCTGAAACTGAGAAGCAGCCAAAAAGCTGCCTTTGATGTCATGCACATGTGCTGACCTAAGAGCATACTATACATTTTTCCCCAAGGTTTCTTAGGGGGTATACTTCATAACAGACATATGTTTTACCTTGGGGAATTACACTAACAGTAGATTTAAAATCAAATCATATGGCTCTGCAGTACACCAGAGAAAACAGATTTGAAGATTAAGACAGCCAGTGTTTTAAAAGCCATCCAGGTTTACTCTTTCCTATGAAAGCAAGTGGATGTGGATTTTTCTGGTAACAGCACCACAGCACATCCTAAAGGCTAAACCATATAACTGCAGTTCCTGGGGATTTATTTTATTTTATTTCCCAAACTGAAAAAAGAATACACTTGCTTTGTTTAAAGGAAAAATAAGGAAGAGAAAGGGGAAGTCCTAATTCTTTTGCTTATCTCTAGGTCTTGTGCACGAGGTGCTCTTTCTCTCCTCTTTCTCCTTGGTGCTACCTGGATCTTCGGGGTACTTCATGTCATCCAGGGATCAGTAGTCACGGCGTATCTTTTTACAATCTTCAATGCATTTCAAGGACTTTTCATCTTCATATTTCTTTGTGTCTTGTCAAGAAAGGTAAGTTTTCTTCCGGACACTCGCACCCCAACAGTCCTACAATCCACTGACCAGATTTGGTGTTTCTTGTATTGTTTTTTAAAAGTTGACTTTTAAAAAAATCAATAGTGTGACATAAAGCTATGCAATCTGCAAAGTCAGGTTTTTTGTGTGTGTCAGGAGCGACTTGAGAAACTGCAAGTCACTTATGGTGTAAGAGAATTAGCTAGCTGCAAGGATATTGCCCAGGGAATGCCCAGATGTTTTGATGTTTTACCATCCTTGTGGGAGGCTTCTCTCATGTCCTCACATGGGAAGCTGGAGCTGACACAGGGAGCTCAACCTGCTCTCCCCAGATTCAAACCACTGATGTATTGGTCACCAGTCCTGACAGCACAGGGGTTTAACTCACTGCGCCACTGGGGGCTCCAGCAAAGTAAATTAAAGCATGGAAGTTAAAAACGGTTCAAAAGATGTAACTGACTTTTCCAGTTACATGGGATGGCCTCATTTTGTATTTCCCGCCTCCAATTAATATGACTCTAGGTGGCATTACATAGAACCCTCATCTTAAGGACAGAAAGTATTGCTCCTGGGCCCTCCCACATTGTCCCATTATAGCGCTTGAATTCAACTTCAACTGTCACGGAAACATCCTGTGGAATTCTAGGATTTATAGTTTAGAGAGGAGTATTAGGAGTAAACTAAATGGCAGTTAAAGTGGGAAAATAGCACTATAACTGTGTAGTATGAACAATTCCATTATATATAAAAAGTAAAAATTTTCTTCTGACATTAAGTCCAGTTGTGTCGGACTGGGGGGTGGTGCTCATCTCCATTTCTAAAACAAAGAGCCGACGCTGTCTATAGACACCTCCAAGGTCATGTGGCCGACATGACTGCATGGAGCACCGTTACCTTCCCGCCAGAACTGTACCTATTGATCTACTCACATTTGCATGTTTTCAAACTGCTAAGTTGGCAGAAACTGAGGCTAACAGTGGGAGCTCACGCTGCTCCCTGGATTCGAACCTATAACCTTTTGATCAGCAAGTTCAGCAGCTCAGCGCTTTAACGCACTGCGCCATCGGGGGTTCCCATTATATATACCTGATGATATATACTTGAAGATGTCAGACAGCTATAGAAAATTTCAAAGAGAATTCAAGGCTGTTCAACCAGCCTGAAACTAATGAATACACCCAAGTTTGTAATATCGCACATTACATTAGCAGTTCATGTGGCACACGCAGTCCAAAGCAGAAACTTGGACAGAAGCATGTGCTGAAAACATGTGCTAGAATCCTATAAGATTGACAATGTTACAATATTTTACCTAACTCATATGTAACAGAGGCACTAAGAAACCCCTTTACCGGATTGCAGAGATATGCATAAAAGGACATCAGCAAAACTGAAGTGATGCACACCAAAACCAATGTGGTGTGTTTTGGGCATGATGCACTTGAGTCTCATTGTGTGTCAGACACCAATGCACATTGGTGACTTTGCTGGCTCTGCTATCTAGTGACATATGACAGCCCTCTGTTGCGTATGGATTTTATGCAACTATGTGATTATAATTCCCATATACATAAGTCCACTTAACTCTTTAAAAGTCTTCCAGCCATAATTTTTTCCTCAGCTGAATATAAAGATGTGTTCTGGTTGTGTTTCTATGGCATGAACAGCATATGCAAGAAGAGGCTTGCTCATTTTTTTTCTTATGTAAATTATTCTTATAGTTGTTTATTGTTATGTGCCTTCAAGTCCTGTCTGACTTAGGTGACCCTTTCATTATTCAGAGGAGGATTGTCATTGTCTTTCTCAAAGGTCAAGAGAGTGTGACTAATCCATGGTCACCCAATGGTTTTCCATGGTTGAGCATGGATTCCAACCTGGGTCTCCCATACTGCTAGTCTTGACATTTAGGCCATTACACTATGCTGGCTCTGAGTATACCGGAGATGGTTGGAATGCTGAGCTACCTTGAAGAAGACAAAAGAGTTTCAGCTGTTGAAACTTGCAAAGGGACAGGATAATTTGCCTCTCCTTGCTGGTACCAACCAAAGCCTCTTCTTTGAAGCACCTATTTGCATTTCAAGAAGCTCCCACTGTCATCAAAACTGCAAGAAATACTCTCAGGCCCCTTCAACACATTTATATAAAATCCACATTGAACTGGATTATATGGCAGTGTGGACTCAGATAATCCAGTTCAGAGCAGATATTGTAGATTATCTGCCTTGATATTCTGGGTTATATGGATGTGTGGAAGAGCCCATAGTCTTTAACATTAATTGCCCCACAATTCACAGGAAAAGAACCAAACTTTCTATGCATTTTAGCAAGTGTAGCTTTGGACAAGAAAACCAGTGTTGAAACAAATTCTTCACCCAGTTCAGAACATTTCTCCCCCCTCCTTTCATCTCCAACCACTACATTGTATCAAATGTTGAAATGTGCTGGTTCCTTTTCCTGTTTTCCATGGTTAGTAGCTTGTGGCCCTCCAGATGATGTGGGACTCGACAAAGAGAAATCTAACATATTAAAGATTTATGACTCTTTGGTTTCCCAGTATAAGCTTTTCTTTCTTTTTGGATGCCAGCTCTCCTCTGCTTCAGTCTAAAAGGCCAGTGACAAGCGTTGAAGGAAGCTAGAGTTCAATATCTGGCTGCTGGCAAGATGTACCTTTTGTCTACCTAGATGAGGAGGCAGGCACTCGAGAGGAAAAGACTGAGAGGATTTTTTGTTGGGATGGGGCATTGTTTGTTTGTTTTCAGAAGAGCAGATGGGGAGAACATATTGTAAAAAGGTTGTATATTATTTTAAATGGCATTAGAAGCGAAGATAACTTATATGCCTGGGGTCAGTACTGTTTGGGAGAGAGATACAAAAATGCAGGATGAAGTCAGGGTTCCTTTCCCCTGCTTGATTATGATACAAAAGGTTTTGGGCAAAATAAAAAAAGGAAGAAAGAAGATGTGGGAATTGGGAGGAAGAGTCCAAATTGATGATTTGAAAACCCTGCCTTTCCACCAAGACCATCCAAGAATGCAAAACCAATATGGAGCTACACATTGGGGATAGTAAGTTCCAGCTCACACTGCAATCAGCAAGAAAAACCTGTTTTGAACAACGTTGTCATAGTGACTCGAAACATGTGATCTATGTCTCAGAAGAATCTCAGAAAGAGAAAAAAGGGTAATATATAGTTAGATGTAGAGAAGTTAGGAAGTGAGCATTACAATTCCACCCATATTAACCTGGAAATCCCATTTATTTGAAAGGGTGGTGCTTTCAAATAAGTGTACGAAGGATTGCAGCATTACATGAATAAAGTAATTCATGCACATACATAATTCACAATCATGCCCTAATACTGTGAAATCTGATTTATGTCTCACAGATCTGGGATTTAAGAACCAAGGCATTTCACACTGTACAGGAGTAATCCTATGAAATAATTAAAGAGGTTTACTAACTATAGTCATCTGATTCGGGATTGAAATCTTCTTGTAAGACCTATTCTGAAAGTCCCCTTACCATCTTTCCTAATCCTCTCTGAGGCCAAATTATGTAAAACCTTTATAACAGAATAAGCCACACTCTCTGGATAGTACTTAAAATACATGTATTTACCTGTTAATAAGCCTATGTGTTCATCTTTTCTTTTCAGATCCAGGATGAATACTCCAGGTTGTTCAGAAATGTCCCTTGCTGTTTTGGATGCTTAAGGTAAATTGGCGGAGAGCTAACATGAGCAGCACTATGGAAGAAAGAAGAAAACGAGAGGCTTTGGAAAAATTGCTATATTGTGAAAGTATGAAATGAGCTACTGAGCTGTCATCTCTCTTAAATCAATTACTTTCTATCCAGTATAGGTATTGTGCTTAAATGTGCACTCAGGCAACACTATATTGTGTACAAACTGCATATCTGTACAAGACAGACTGGTTTATTGTGTAACAAATAAGGCTTCTAAAGGAACTCAGGACTCTTCAAGGCTAATGGCTGTAGCTCAGAAGGGAGTGAATCCATGTGCAAAGCCATTTTCATGAGTAGCTTTGCTGTAATGCCGTACCTGCTGACTTGGAAATGAAAATAATTTTGCTTATTGCTTTTAAAGAGAGTAAATTACATTAGAGTGTTAATAAAAACAAGATTTTACTTTGATCAAAGCTCAGTGTTCTCTGTTGGAAATAGCTGGATTAAAAAACAGATTGTGTATCATTTTCATTCCATTAGTGTGGTTCACTAGGACTTCACTGACAACATTAGTCCAGGAATTGTATAGTTATGCAACCAGTTTCACTCCTCACACATTTGAACGTGTACATTAGTCATGGATTCCACAGAATGATGAAAGAATATCATGACCTAAATTCTATTGTTAACCTCAACTAAAACAGACCAGTTAAATCTATTAACAAATCGTGCATCAACACATCAGCATTGATGGCATTCCTTTCATTTCTCTTCCTAGTTGTTTTTAAAAATAATTAAAGATACCTTTTGGAATTTAAGAAGAATATAATGAACAACTCTTATGCATGAATCCTATAGGTCAGCCCCAACTGGATCAGATCAATTGAATCAATTTAAATGGTGGGCCCATGGATTTGATGGCTCTAGTTGGGACAACCAATAGGATTTGGGTCTATGAGAATATCAACATACATACATGAGAGTTCTCATACATAGTGAATTCTAGGTCAGTCTAGGGAGGAATCTTAGATGCATATATCAGTAACCACATTGAATCTATACACGCAGCCACTTAATAGGCACCCATGACTAGGGATGTGCAATTTGGCACAAAACCATGCCATTTTCAGTCCCATTTTTTGCTAACCCCTCATTTTGTTTACTGGGAAATTGCTGAAATTGGAGTGGGTGTGGAGGGGGAAGGGGGAGGGTTTCTGTTTTCATTCGGGAAAGATTTGGCCCATTGGCTACAATGGGAAATTTTAAAGACTCATTTCTCAGTCATTTTTAGGCCTATCTGTATGAAACCTACCTCAGTTGTAGACTCCATTTATAACTGCAGACCTGCAAAGTTTCAGAACAATTCACCAATCTTCTGATTAGTCCTCTGCAGGAAGAAGATTTTCAGCTTTGCCAGTGCTCCCCCAAAATGAATGATTTGGCAGCTTTCCCACCCATTCTCTCTTTATTAGGTTTCGCCTCCCTGCCAGCTGGGAAGGGCAGGATATTTGCTGCTCTGCCCCCCCCCCCCTGTGAAGGAGGCCTAGTAGCAAGTAGGCCAGGATTACTTTTGTGGGAGCAGAGCTGGCGTTTTATAAAATGCACATCCCCTGTAGCATTCTCAATCTTGAACAGTAGCCCAACCTCCCACCTTAAAAACAGGGTCACTTTGGGGCTGGGTAGGAACCCCCCCCCCCACTTTATGAGGGGAGAGGGCTCTCCTACCCTACATTGCTTAGGGGTGGGTAAATTGGTGTGGGTAGAACCATAAATAGGCTGTCATGCAAGAAACTGGAATGGAGTTTACATCCCAGTGTGCATCCAAGGCACCTTGCTTTGGTGAAGGCCAGGAACAGGACCCTCCACAGGTGTTTTTGGGCAACCAAGGTGGGGACAAACAGGGATGACCTTGGAGCTGTGGGGGAATTCTAGCCCCACTGAAGTTTTGTGGCTTGGAGTTGGAATACTCTATGTAGCTTCCCTAAGGGTTCGTCCTGGGAACAACTCAAGCAGAGATACACTCGGGTGTCTCACTGAGGAGAGGGTCTGGGAGGGCCACTGTCTCAGCTTATCCCACATGAAGTTCATCCCAATTAATGAGTTTATTGCAGTTCGTGAAAAAAGTTTAAACAGGTAACCTTAATAAAGTTGCCCATAATTATTCCCATATGGTTGTCTGGTCTCATTATTTCAATGCTGGTCTCATTATTTCAATGACAGATCATGTCGCTTCTGTAATTTGATTGTATTGAGCATTTGTTGTGTTGTAGCATGGGTTTAGATCCAGGGGGTTTGGTGGTGGTAAGAGGATATATGTGTCCATCATTTTCTTTGGAGGTCTGTTTAAAGAACTTCAGGGGTTTAAGCTAGAGTCAAGCCCAGTTCAAGGCTTATCAGATCTTCCTCACTTCCAGATGGCAAGAAACCACACAGTGGCTCTGCATCCATGTGGATTCCACAGCTGTCACTCTGACTGGTGGCCCAAAGGCTGAACAGGAACCTGCCATTTGGCAGGTAGCCTTAGCAGCCCTCGTGCCAGGCCAACACTATATAGCTGCTGAGAATAAAAATGTAGCAACTTACATTGCTTCCATGCCAGCCCCTTAGCACTGAACCTATTTTCTCTGATCTTCTATCAGGATAGGAATATACAAGCCAAGCACATTATTTCCAATCCATGTTTCCCTGTCATTGTTCTTATGGAAGTAGAAAGGGCATCTGTGGATGACAATCAACAAGGAGATGATAGTTACCCCACATCCCTTTTCAGCACTGGAAATATACACAGCCGGGGACCATAATGTAAGAATATTTGAAGGTTAGAAATTGTTATGTGTGGCTTTTTGTGAGAAAGGAGGAACAGAAATGGAGTTTGGACTCTGCTGAAGCATGACAGGAAGCAATCCCATGTGAAGTAATCATGTCCATGTATCAACTTAGTAGTACAAAACTATAATTTAAAAAAAAACAGAGATTACTCTTCCATCCCACTCTTTTTACAGATGCCCGTGGTAAGGGGGGGAAATAATCCAACTTGACCAATTAATGGTAAAAGGAAATCAAGAAATGATTTTAATATTACGATCATTCAGATAACAAAGCCATTGCAATCTTCTGTGGCTCTAAAGTGTTCCAAAAGTCGGCAAGATGTCTGGATTGTGTTCTGGCAACCTTAGCTAGCTTAGTGCAGAACTAAAACTGAAGAATAAAACTAGTGATCATCTGTGGTGGGGGGAGTTATGCTATTGTACACAGATGGCATGACATGGCTGTTCACTCATGCACTTCATATCCAAAACACAGCATTCACACAATATTTACAGCTGGCAAAGTAATGTCCTTATACAATGGAGGACAGTTCCCAAGGGTCTCAAGCAGCATCAGTGTCAGAATTGTGAAAGAACTGTTATCTAGTAAGAACCCCTGCAATCTAAGACACAAGGTACTTAACCCTCCATGACTGCAAAGCTGAATGAGCAGAATTTGAATTTATTTGATGAAAATAATTCTTCATTCTCCAAGTCATAGCACCGGCAGACAGTCGTTTCCAAGTTAGAAAAGGGTTAAAATTGATCTGGTGTTCATTCCAGTCTTTGAAAGAGCTCTCCAATGTGATGCACAAATCAGTTCAGCCTTTTGGATCATTCCTTTGAAGTTTGGACTAAAACCCACAGTGTAGTCACTACATCCCTAAGATGAAAGCCATTTGTCTCTATTGAGTCATGCAGCGATATCTTCAAGCTATTTATTGCCTCTGGAACAGAGCTTGGCAAGAGGTTTTTAAGAAAGGTGAACACACCGATGCCACTTATAACTGCACACAATTTTGGATGGGTAAACTAGATTATAAATATACAATAGACTCTCTGTTAATTGGCACCGATGAGAATTGGTAGATCCTGCATAAATATAGTTTCTGGTTGCTTGAGAGTTACTATTAAAAATAGGCCGTACTAATACTATACCCCATAATATACCATAATACAATATCTGTATTGATTTGATATTAATATTGAAATATTTATTTTATTTATTTACTCTATTTATACCTTGCCTTTCTCTACCCCGAAGGGGACTCAAGGTGGCTTACATAGAGGCAATTATTAAATAACTTAAAACACATACAATTCCAAAAAAAATAAAATTAAATTAGATGAAAATTACAAACAAATTAAACATTTAAAAACATTCCATTCCATATTAAAATCACACCATTCATAGTTGTAGTCCAAGCCGTTCCATAGTCATTTCATATATTTCAGATCTGTTAATTGCACTGCACTATTATCCGAAGGTCTGATCCCATAGCCAAGTTTTTACCTTTCTTCTGAAGGTTAGGAAGGAGGAGGTTGATCTAATGTCACTGGGGAGGGAGTTCCATAGACAAGGGGCCACCACAGAGAAGGTCCTGTCTCTAATTCCCACCAGTTGCACCTGCGAAGGAGGTGGGACTGAGAGCAGGGCCTCCCTGTATGATCTTAATCTCTGAGATGTTTCATAGGTTCATAATACAGTAAATAAAATCACATAAAGAAAAAATTAACTTAATGTAAAACAGCTTTTTCTGTATTTTACTGTATTATAAAACAGCTTTGTAAATGCAGTATTTAATTTTTTGGTAGTTGCTTAAGAGTTCTGGTTGCTTGGATTCTAGTTAACTGAGAGTTTATGTTATTTGGTTACATTTGCTCCTGATGTGTTTTTGACTCCAATAACAAAGCACATAGTTTGCATGTGGGAAATCTCAGTCCACGAGATATGGTTAGAAATAATCCCTTTTGGAAATCCTGAAACACAACAAGCAAATCACATAATTTTTTTTTTACTTGTGTAGTTGATTTTTTAAAAAAACAATGATGACTAAATTGTCTCACTGTCACTCATTAAAGGAAAACTCCCATTCATGTTTGATGTTAGAATGAGTTGTATTCTGGCTAGGGTTGCAACAGATGAAAAGTATTAAAGCCATTCTTTTGATCTGACCTGCCCACAAGCCACATTGGATATTCCATTTCATTTCATTTTCAGGCAAGGTCAGGCTATGTGACAAATGTCACATCTTGTTTGCTTCTGTCAACATAAAGCAGCTTCCCATGTAGCTACAAGCTGGCAAATATGAAAGAGCAAGAAATCTCCATGACCATTCTTTTTCACTAGCAAACTGATTTCAACAAAACAGTAAAACTCACCCTAAGTTTACAAATAAGTTTTTTTCTTCAGAAACTCATGATCTCTCCAGGAGAGTTTGATAAGAAACATCATTTAGAGGACCATGAAAATGATACCTGCACATAAGTGCTTAGACTGAAGCATAAAAAGATTTGCTACTGAATAGAACAAATCCTTTGATGACCAATTATGGAATAATGAGACCAGAAACAGCTTTCCTCAAATGTTACTAAAAAGACTTATGTCAAAGTCAGAATCTAGTCCACACCTAAAGACCTGCTATTCAGACTCCATTTCCCCATTT